CGGAACCAGATGGTAAGATTTTTTATTTTTATTTTTCTGAAAATTTTTATTTCCATTCTTATATTATCTTTACAATTGAAATTTTTTTGGACGAGGATTTAATTATTTTAAGAGTAAGTTTCAGACATTTGTCTATACCATTTAATAACTTTTAATAAAATATAAATTTTTAATAAATTTAACCGCTGAATCATATGATATTATATTGATGACTATGTTTACCAAAAAAAAAAAATTATTGATGACCATAGATACTAATTTTAGATAAATTAAACATATATATATATATATATATATATATATATATATATATATATATATATAATTTTGTAACTTGCATCTTGTATAATAAAAAATATATTATACGTTAAAATAAAGTTATGAATGAAGTATATATCAGTTAGTTTTAAATTGTATTACAATTGTTTACCAAAAAAAAAAATTGTATGAGAATTTGCAAACTTGATTTAGTTAATAAAAACTTCCAATCCAAGGTTGGATAGATAAACTTAAAATTTTTAAAAAGTTATTAACAGTATAAGTTTTTAACTTAAAATATTTTTTATATATCAAAATTAATTAGTCAATATTATTTATATAAATTATATCAAACAAAATTATCAGGTCAGCTGGGTTGAGTTTTACTTAGACGAAAACTTATTTAAATAGCATAAATTATACACAGGCACGTATATAACTTCGGTAGATGTTAAATTTTTTTATTCATATTTAAATTTAAATTTTTTATAATCATATAAATTTAAACTCTCAATCTGATACATAATTACCCAATAGTCAAATTTAATCAACAACGTTTAGACAAATATACAATAAAAATACACAATAATATTGTTAATTAGTTAAAATTGTCCAATTAATACGTATGTTAACATTAATATTTTATTTGATCGACGTTGCTGAATTTAGCATCTCTATATAAATACATACCTATGGACGCGTATGTAGAATGTGGTATAATTAAATAGTGTCACAGTTAAAAAATAAATTAGGGGGTAATGCCTAATTGTCGTATTTTCATTAAATATGTTGTCTTGTTTCATGTATCGTGCATAATAATTTATGCATCATAATTTATAAATCTAAATGGGTTGGATTGTATGTTAAGGCCCAATTTTGATGAATTTTTCAACGGACCAGACGGAAATAAACCCTTTTCCATGGATCCGGATCCTCTGATGTGAAAAATCACATGACATGGTAAAGTGGAAAATATAATAATACAAAGGTGGATTAATGATAATAAAAGAGGAGAGAGAAAAATAGTAAAATAAGTAGTTACAAAATCATAACCATTGATTTAACTTTATATAGTTGTGATCTTCTCACGTGATCACGTCATGTTTTTTCTCACATATCCATTTTCCTTTTCCATACATCGTGGCTCGTGAGAAAGTCATTTAACAAAATGATTCGTCTAATAATTATATGTTTTCGACGGAATAACATACGGATATTTCTCTCATCGAATATTCTGGCGGAAACTGCGATTAATATTCCTTTATTTTTGAATTCATCAATGTTTTGTTCCCGGGACAGAAATGTCTAATCAGATACTAATAAGTTTATCTTGGATCTAAAGGTTCTATCATGTATCACTGATCTGTGTACACAATAACAACATAATAATAATAGGGAGAGATTTTTACCAAAAAAAAAAAAAAATAATAGGGAGAGAATAAGATGTCTTTATATGTAGACTTTACCTCTTATTTTTAAGATTTATATGTGGCCCTGGACCTTTGCGGGCTCTTTTGAGAGCTTATATCCAGATTCATAGTTGTCGGCTGTCACACTAGAATTAGCACAATTGATTGATGATTTTCTTTATTTGCTTTAATTTCCTCTTTCAATTACCTTTTCTTGAGCCTTCTAGACTAATTGCCTCTTGTACATATTCATAACAATCAATTTTTCAATTAACACATTTGGTTGATGCTTTCCTTTATTTGCTTTAGTTTTCTTTTTTAATTGTTTTTTCTTGGGCCTTCTAGAATATAAATCTTTTATACTGATCCATAACAATCAATTTTTCAATTCATATTTTTAATTGGACAGTTTTCAATGGAGAAAGTCCTTCGTTGATTGATTATTTTCTAGTAGTGTCTCGAAAGGAAATAATTTTTCATTTTTTTTAGCCTACATATGAGTGGACTATTACCTATTACACCGCTTTTTGGACACTAATTTAACATAAGATAATTATGACATATTCACATACAAGTTTTTAATTAGTATAACGTATGTTATTTGATTTGAGGATCATTAATAATTGATTAATATATGAGTTCGCTTTTTCTACGGTCAATGTAGATAATTTATCTACAGTGAGCCCAAAACGCCGTCGTTTTGAGGCGCAAATTAAGGTATTTTTGTAATTATAATTTATTTCAGAGTTATAATAGTCTTTTTCATTATAATTTTTTAATTTTTCAACCCAAAACGACGTCGTTTTGGGAGCGAATGTAGATAACTTATCTACATTCACTTTAGAAACATTAAAGCCTTAATATATTATAGTAATTGTTTAATAATCTGTTAATCAGTGGATAGATTGTTGCTAAAAATTTTACACATCATTAATACGTGTAAAATTGGTGTTTGCAAAAACCTCTTGATTAATTATAAAAAAAGTGTTATAATAAAAATGTTGTCTAAAGTCTAAACAACATTGTTAAATTTAAAAATACCTTATCTAACATTAGCCATGCACATATTATACCAGGAACATGGAAAAGGCATATGCGTATGGCAGCGACCTCAGGGGATTGGGTTGAGGCTTCAAAGTATGATGAAACTCATCCAGACTGGGTATGTGATCCTTTGAGTGCTGGTGGAGACACAGCCCTTCACGTTGCAGTGAGCATGGAACAATTCACTTTTGTAGCAAAGTTGCTGGAACGTATGACCTTGCTTGATTTGGAAATTCGCAACGCATATGGAAATACAGCCTTCTGTATGGCTGCTATTTCAGGAAACGTGAAAATTGCTACAATTCTATTTGACAAGAACCCAGCGTTGGTATGGATTAGAGGCAATAAAGACATGTTACCAATTCAATTGGCATCTTCTGCTGGACACTCTCATATGGTGAAATTTTTATTTGAAAAGCCTCCACAAGACATGCGCTCTAATCTACCCTTCCAAGACACAGTCATGCTCTTTTTCTTGACCATTACCAACAGCATTTACAGTGAGTTGCATATATATACTAGCCGCGTGCTGAAAAAAAAAATGTGTTGCTGCAAAATTTCTCTACTACAGTAACATAAGAAGTAACAAACCATATATATATATATGGAAAAATATTTCTCCAGCCGTTTGAGATAAGCTTATCTAAAGCTATCATTTTTAACTATATATTACAGGTACTATATATTTATAATGTCAAAATTGTTTTTTTCTTTCTCTATGTCAACCGATAAGTTCTGAAATAGTGACTTAGGAGATAGAAAAAAAGAACAACTTTAACGTTATAACTATGTATTATCCATAGTACATAGTTTAAAAGGGTAGTTTTAGAAAAGCTTTACCTCAAGTGGTTGGAGAAATGTTAACCCTATATATATATATATATATATATATATATATATATATATATATATATATATATATATATATATATATATATATCATAATTTGGAATTCTTCCACAGTTCTCTAAGGCTTTGCTATAATTATGTTTAGATAGAGCATGCATAAAATTTATGAGCTGATTTGATTTATAAATACTTTTTTGGAAATTATTAAATTGGAATTAATTCGATTGATTACAACAAGTTCTAATTCTTTTTTTTTTTAATCCAAACATACATATATAATGTTCCTTTTGTATGTAAAACTATTTAAAAAGGTTTTTTTTCCTGAAAATTACAATTTTATAAGCTAGTCCAAACATAACAAAGGTGGTAACGTGCTTATAAGTGAATTTCAGTTTTCTTTCTTGTTTGGTATATGCTGAAATTTAAACTATTCTAATGACTTATTAATTGTTTTCAACTATTGCTTGGTCTTCACAGGTGTGGCATTGAATTTGTTGGATAAATATCCAAAACTCGCAACCACAGGAAACAAAGAGGGGCTAACCGCCTTGGAAGTGCTTGCTAAAATACGTAAGCGTTAGCACTTTGACCTTACACTCTTGTACAATTCAATTTTCTTATTTAGAGATTTTGTTCATTTTACATATTACAAGATTTGAGTTTAGAAAAACTTTCATTCCTTCCCGAAATTTGAAAAAAAGAAAAATCAAAAGCAGAATCTTTATTCTTATTTTAATTTAGTTTTAAAAAAGTTTTCTACCATCCAATTAAGCATGTATTAATGCTGTATCTCAGTAAAAAAATAAATTTATGAATTAATAATTATATAATTCAATTCAAACTAATGTAATTACTTCCATCCACTGAGCCAGCCTTTGACGAGGATGCTCCAGGTTATCGAGATATTATAAGCTGTTTGTTTAAGGGCATGAAAGAGGAATTTCTGAACTCTGTAAGAACTTCAAAAGCAATGTTTGATGCAGCAAAATCAGGAAATGCTATGATTCTAGAATATATTTTAAAGTACGATCCAAGTTTGTTGATGAAAGTTGATTCCAATGGACAAAGCATACTTCACATTGCTATTTCAAATCGACACATAGCTGTATACCGACTAATAATGAGCAAAGATGCATACAAGAATGTTTTCCTGCAACTAGTCGATGATGACGGAAACAATGTTCTTCATTTAGCTGGAAAGCAGTCTGCTGAAGACAGATTTGGATCTCCCGTATCTCCAGTTCTACTTAGCAGTGAGGAGATGTGGTTTAAGGTGTGCATCTACACTACACTATTTATATACAATTAATTATCTTACTCTTTGTTCGTTATACACTTTCTTTTTCTTAAATGTTTTTTTTTTCTTTTTTTTTTTGAAACCTATATATATATATATATATATAGGAAGTGGAGAAGATAGTTCCAGGTGCATTGAGAAGCATGGAAAATACGGATGGTTGGACTCCAAAAGAATTATTTTACAGTGAACACAGAAAGTTATCTGAAAAAGCTTCATCTGAACTGATCGACATTGTAAGTAATCTCCTAGTTGTGGGAACTCTTATTATGACGTTAGGGATGACCGGAGCTCTCACCATTCGTAATATCGATGCTAAAAAGACTCCTTTTTTAGAGCCTAAGATATGGTACAGTATATTTATTCTGTCAGTTGGATTTGGAGTAAGCTCCTGTGCACTATCGATGCTCCTCTTCACTTCAGTTATGATCCCTTCAATCATTAAGACAAATGTAGGTTTTTTCTTCTCCCGGCTAATAAGGAGTATGATGGGGTGTTTGTTACTGTATGCATCTCTGGCAATCATGGGTAGCGCTTCTATTATATCTGGTGCGGTTTTGGTCTACGGCTTCTTGCCCAATTGGACCTTCCATGTTATTGCTGCGTTTATTGGTATTCCAGCGATCTTGTCTTGTCACATTTTCTATCATTCTTTGCAGTATGCTAAACACGTAATGCTAGCCTTTTGCGAGGAAGCTGCAATGGGAATATTGTCAAGAATGAGGATTAAGTGGGTTCCTTTTTACCTTCCTTATTGAAAGTAGGTTTAATGTTTTTATTTTTATTACTGATCAAATATCTCTGTATTCACGTAAAGACCCATTAATTAATTCTATGTGAGAGGACAAATATATTTTTCTCTTTAAATTATCATGTAAATTAATTCTTTTGAAAAGTTGAAGCATAAATATGTTGTTTGTCTTTTTTTTGCAGTTTCACATTTATCTTTTCATCAATTGATTTGCCTATAAGATAGATGTATCATATGTCTTGAATTATAAGCGTATGCTACTCAATGAAAAAGACGGTGGGTCCACAACATTGCAATGATTCAAGTTAAAATTATCTTAATTGCCTGTTGAGCAATTATTGGATTCTTTTTCCTTGGTGAATAGTTGAGCAATTATTGCTAATACACAAATTGAATGAACAAAATAGCATTTAGGTGCTACCAAAAGTACACACGACTTGATTAGGCAAACTTTGGGAAGCAGAGATTTCTCCTCATCATATGGTTGGGCAAGGACTAACGATGGGAACGTGAGACGTGATTTCAAAACGCAATTATGAGTCACGGGATCATCTTCTACACCTTACCACTGTGACGTAATCACCAATTCTAGTATCTGTCGTAATTTGTTATTTCCAGAACGTGTACCATAAATATTCAACAAGGAACGTGAGACTTATTAGTTTACCTGTTTATGGGATCTCAGCAATCAGCATTGTGACGTAATCCCAAGCCGAGTTCCTGACGTCGTAAGTTGCTATTCTTTTTTTTTTTTTTTATAAAAAAAGTTTCGGTGATATTAAACATCCGTAACTCACCAAGGCCAAGACAGACCCCAACCACTATAAAAATTCCTAGGTAGAGTTATAGATTGCTCATCAATAAAATTCACTTATCAACCAGCGATATTCGAATTCAAGCCCTTCTAGCATATGAATTTAATCCTTAACAAACTTTACCCATCTTTATTGGCCAAGTAACTATTCTCAAAATGCGTAAAATAAATATATATTCAACATAATATTGTATCCTACACAAAAATAATATAATTTACTCTTTATTAATCTTTAATTTGTTCAACTCTCTATTAAAAAAAATCGGAAGTGGAATCCATACTTAAAAAAATCCGTGAATAAATATTTTTTTTTGGTACCAAAACAAGAAAAGAGAAAATATATAACAACTTGCTGGAAAAGAAATAAGAGCAAAATTCGAATGAAAAAACGGAAAAAGTATATAACAGCATGCTGGAAAAGCAAAAAGAGCAAAATTCGACTGTCCTACTTGGTTATCAAGATGAGGTATATCATTTAGAATATGCCATAATTAATTGGCACTCAACCAAAAGTCCATCTTCTCAGTGACAAAGATCACTATTCGGTTGTATAAATGACAAAAAAAAAAAAAAAAAAAAAAAACTTTATTTCGGTGTCTTTTGGTCATCTTTCAATTGCGCTCATGACTTGAAACTTCAGATTTGTATTCTAAACGCATGCGCTACTTGTTAAGCTCATCCACTAGAAACTGTCGGATCTCTGTCGGTGTCTTAATTATTGGGGGTAATATTTTTTCAGACAATTATTGGGGGTAACCTTTTAATTGTTCTCATAACCAGAAAGTTCCGATTGATAATATTTTAAGGGAAAAATTCTTTCAAGGTTTTGTTGGGAGAGACTATAGCTATGATCGCATGATCTTTCCGTTTCGAGGGGATTAATCCTTGCTTTTCGACTGGAGGTAGGGGTGGTAAAGAACTAGAAGTCTTTGACTCGATTCGTGAAGACCTGAACTTACATGTCTAAAATTGGTTGTTAAAATCAGGCTTAGACTTATATAAAAGCTCGTTAAATAAAATGCGTAAGGCTCCAATTCAAAAGTTTGGCGTTAGAGGCTTTCAGGCTGGCCTAGTATATTAACTTTTATATTTATATATATATTTTGTACTACTTGTAGTTACCTTCTCTCTCTCCTCAATGTTTAACCAATAAAATGATGTTGTTCTATATTATATTGTTTGGATATATATTGAATTTATGAATATTTAAGAAATTACTAATGCTGTTGATTGTATATTCTGTTTGAATACATTTTTGTTATCTTATTTTTTTTTTAAATGGACTAAACCAGAATTTTATTTTTTTATAAATAAGTCAAGCCACATGCCGATAATTATATTAATAAGAGATAACAAGCTTGGTCAGGCTGACACATCTAAACACATGCTTAGTCTTTTAAGACCAAGGCTAAGCTCGGCTCGGTCCGTTAACACCTCTAGCTGGAGGATACCCTTGGAACAATTTTCAAAAAAAAATTCAATATAAAAATTCATATTTAGGGATTAAAAAAAATTAAAATTAAATATGTATAAATCAAAAGAAGAAAATAAACTGAGGAAATTTTTTTTACAATAGTAATAGAAAAAAGTAAAAGTAAAAAATAAAATAAAAATACTCTAAATCAAAAACAAGAAAATAGACAGAAGAAAAAAATTAGAGAAAAATATAAGATCAAATATGTTTAAATCAAAAAAATTAGACTAAGCACAAAAAAAATAGAAGAAAAAATAAGACCAAATATGTGGAAAATTTACAAAATTAATTTTTTTCCCTTCAATTTCTTGTTTGTCTTTTTTTTTTCCTATTTCTTTTAACTGTGTTAGAAAAGAATAAAAGTGAAAAAAATAAAAATAGAAGGAAAAAATATATATAAATAAAAAAATAAAATAAACTGAGAACAAACAAGAAAAAATAAAAGAAGAAAAGACCAAAATCAAAATAGAAGAAAAAAATATTGATTTCTTTTTCTTCTGCTTCTTTTTTGTCTTCTTTTTTTATATATTTTTTGTCTTCAGACTAATTTTATCTTTTTGATTAAGACTATTTTTATTTTTATTTTATTTTATTTTTTCTTTTAATCTTTTTTATCTGTTGTAAATTTTCCACATATTTAGTCTTGTTTTTTTTTATCTTCAGTCAGAATTTAGACATATGTAATTTTTTTTCTTCTATTTTCAATTTTTCTTTACTTTTAATCTTTTTTATAAGTGCCATAAGTCTTCAATATATTTGATATTTTTATCAGATTATTTTTTTCTTCTGAAAAGGATAAAATATATTTATTAGTTAAGTTTTCATATATTTGATTTTTTTTAATTAGTCTATTTTCTTCTACTGAAAAGGATAAAATATGTACGTCAGTTAAGTTTATAATAATGTTAAAAGAAAAATTATAGGGGTTTTTTTTGTTCTAATTGTCCGTGAAAATAAAGTTCATCCACTACTTTTATTAGTATATATGCGTGTTTTACTCTTAGAAGATAGAATGAAAAATTAAGTTGGTGATCATCATCACCAAGAATTTTGATATTTTCCCATAAAGAGAAGATAGCACGAGATCGGTAACCTCCCACAAGAGTCATGTCCGACTTTACAGGTGACATGCCCAAGCCTGAGAGTGAGTTTAAAATGAATTGAAATCTGTACTGTTGTCTGATATATATTCATGATGCATTTTTAAGTTTCTTCGTTTCTCGATACAAAGTAGGAGTGAGGCCAGTAGGACCTGGAGGATGTGATACACCTTAAGTAGCTATCATCCTGAATGAGAATTGAGAGTCGTCATAGTCACTAGTCAGAGTACATGCAAGATGCAACATCCCATAGGAGGTTGAGTGAAAGTATGCAAACCGGCAATTAATATCTTATTTCTTATCTTAGAATGGCAATTGGTTTCTCATCGTGTCCCAACTTCTCTCAGTTCGCTTTCACTGCTTGCAATTGGTTTCGCATTTACTTGCATTACTAGTCGGTGCCTGTTTGAGATTTTTTTTTTTTTTTTTTCAGCGTCTCTTCTCTTTCCAAACAAGTTTTTTACAAAATTTATTATATTAAATGTTTAAGAAAAAAGATAAAAAAAAGTAAAAGTTTTTTTATTAGTTATTAACTTTTCATGAAATGAAAGGTTGAAGTCTGAGTTCATAGTCCTTTCGAGTTTGGAGCGCCTCCATCGTCTTCACTCTCTTCTTCTCTATCATTCAGATCTCCATCGGCTTCATTATGTTCTCCAAGGTTCCTTCTCTCTTTCTGCTACTGCTTGCTCTTCACTGCTTAGCTTTCACAGTAGAGACTGGTTTCTTAATACTTTTACCAATTTTTACCTTCACCCACTTTGATTTAATATCATGATGGTGGATTCTAGGAGTAGTTCAGGAGATTGCTTTGTTACGGTTCCATTGAATTCAGTGACTATTTGTAGGATATATATTGTTATTCATTTTGTACGATTATCTGACATTGGAAATGTGCAGAAACTTATTTTTTTCCTCTTCTCTATCCTTGCACTGTAATGCCTGGTCATAATTGTTCCGTTTAATTTTTTGTGCCTCTTGCTTTCAAATCATTGTTACTCAAGTATTTCTCCTCCCTGCCTATTGAGTAAAATGAACAACAATTTTGGGGGAGAGTGACCAAAATGCTACGCTATGGCAAAAAAATTATCAGAATGCCACGCGAACAGTAAAATTTTCCAAACTGCCGCATGGCATAATTCGCTACACAGTGTAGCGAATTATGTATGCAAGTAATTCGCTACACAGTATAGCGAAATATGCCACGTGTCAAATTTTGCAAAATTCGCTACATAGGGTAGCGAATTTTGCAAAATTTGACATGTGGCATTTTTGGTTCTGACGTGGCATATTTCGCTACACTGTGTAGCGAATTACTTGTATACATAATTCGCTACACTGTGTAGCGAATTATGCCGCGTGACAGTTTGAAAAATTTTACTGTTCGCGTGGCATTCTGGTAATTTTTTTGTCAAAGCGTGGCAAAATGGTCACTCTCCCCAATTTTGGAAAGTAAACTAAATGCAAGTTATAGCAACAGTCACCATTTTGTCACTGGCAAAAAGAATTTATCAGACTGTTATGCTAATAGTAAATTTTGCCAAAATGTCACGCAGTATATTTTGCTATACTGTGTAGCGAAATATGTTTGCAAATAATTCGCTACACAGTTTAGCAAAATATGTCATGTCAGGATGCACGGTCAGCAAAAATGACACGTGTCAAGCAGGCAGAAATTCGCTACACTGTGTAGCGAATTATGCTTGGATTCTGCCTGCTTGACACGTGTCATTTTTTGCTGACCGTGCATCTTGACATGACATATTTCGCTACACTGTGTAGCGAATTATTTGCAAAACATATATCGCTACACAGTGTAGCGAAATATGTCGCGTGACATTTTGGAAAAATTTACTGTTGGTGTGGCAGTCTGGTAAATTTTTTTGCCAAACATGGCAAAATGGTTACTCTCCCGCAAGTTATAGGCTATTTGATCATTGTAGCCTTTAACTAATAAAAAATTAGCATATTGTCCTCGTTTATAAATTATTTCAAAAATTTAACTTTCTCAACAAACATAACATCAGTTTATCCCTGTTTGACCGTTGACCACTCAGTTACCAGGGTAGAAAATTATTTACCCGGGTACACAACCGATTACCCTGGTACACACCCTTATTTATCCTGTACACACTCAGTTACTCTGGTACATATCCTTATTTACCTTGGTACACACCCAGTTACTTTGGCACATATCCTTATTTTCCAAACCCAATCAGGAATCCAACTCAAAAGACAAACAATAAACTGTAAAGTAATAATAGGAACCTGGTAGAACCAACAGACAAAAAACATGTAAAACATATATGAATGTACAATTCAATGACCATCTCACATAACAAAATTACAAAAAAGCCGTGTTAACCCCATCATTTTGAAGATTTCAAAAAAAATATTTTATATTTTAACCAGTTAATATTAAAGCTTTTAATTTTTATAAGAATTTCGTCTTACTTCACATTACTTTTAAAATATATACATAATTTCACTCTTATTCACAAAAAATTATGTATATGAAATGATGTATTTATGCCTTATAGACGAGGGACTCAATGTGCATACCTCAGTAACACTTGCTCTAGCTAAAGGGGATGTTTTCCCTACAAATTTTTCATACAAATTACAAACACATTTAACCACGTTTTCTTCGTTGATGGATTTGAGTTGGATTCACGGTTGGGCTTGGAAAATAAGGATATGTATCAGAGTAACTATGTGTGTACTACGGTAAATAAGAACATATACCAAGGTTGCTGGGTGTGTACCAGGGTAAATAAGGATATGTACCAGGGTAACCGAGTGTGTACCAGGGTAAATAAGGGTGTGTACCAGGGTAACCGGGTGTGTACCCGGGTAAATAATTTTCTTCCCAGGTAACCTGGTGGTCAACGGTCAAACAGAGATAGATTGGTGTTATGTTTGTTGAGAAGGTTAAATTTTTGAAATAGTTTATAAACGAGGGCAAGATGATAATTTTTTATTAGTTAAAGACTACAATGATCAAAAAGTCGCAAGTTATATGATAGAGGCTCGCTCACTGCAGCAGAGTTGGTCTAATTTACTATTTATCTTTCACCGTATTACTATTTACTGTAGAGAACTAATAGTTATGGATAGAAAGTGCTCAGGGTGCATGATAGAGATCATTGTATGGTGTATTCAAAAAAAGAAGAAGAGATCATTGTATGGGTACTACTGCTAACAAAGATAGAGATCAAGCTAGGCAGCAAATTAATGTCCCAAGTATGTGTCTGGACCACAAGTTTGGTTGGGCGGCTCCCGGGGGCGGATGATCAGGACTTATATGAATTGGCAGAGTAACAATACATAAGATACCTCTTTGCCTGGTGATTGAGGGGTATTTATAGGAGGAGAAGATGTTCCCCTTACGTGGGTAGATGAGCTGGGTCAACTCTCTTTGAGGGATGTTAATGGTGGCTGATACTGCTGAGGTAGCAGCGATGTTGCTCCTGCTCGGATGGTGGCAGTCATTGCTGCCACCTCTGTAGAGGGGAAGTTTCTATTTAGAGGCTTGGAAAAACCCTCCAACAGAGTAGATATCCCAAGGTAAGGTACCAAAATACATTACCTTGGGAATACTGTCACCTGGGAGACAGAAAGAAAGGAGGGTTGATAGTCTCTGATCAACAGAGCTGACATGGGTTTGAGCCTTTGTTGCTGGGCCTCAAAGACATGGGCCATGCATCCAAAACACTATGGATGATATTGCTTATGTTATTTATGAAATTTTCATAAAATATACTACAACATGGTTAATTATGCGTTGATTTATGTAAAAATTTCATGATCAACATGTTATGAGTTTTTTTACATCTAATAGCTGAATGAATTACATTACTATTAATATTTGCGCTACAAGTCATATCTATATTTTGCAATAAACTAGGTATTCTTTATGAAGAAGTAGAGCTTGCAGAATCAGCTGGAAAATGCTTTTCGTCGGAACCAGATGGTAAGATTTTTTTTTTTTCCTGAAAAAAATTATTTCCATTCTTATATTATCTTTACAATTGAAAATTTTTTGGACGAGGATTTAATTATTTTAAGAGTAAGTTTCAAACATTTGTATATATCATTAATAAATTTTAATAAAATATAAATTGTAAATAAATTTAATCGTTGAATCATATGATATTGTATTGATGATTATGCATACTAATTTTAGATAAATTAAACATTTATCTATATGTAATTTTATAACTTTCATCTTGTTTTATAAAAAATATATTATACGTAAAAATAAAGTTAAGAATGAGGTATTAGTTAGTTATAAATTGTATGAGAATTTGCGAACTTAATTAAGTTAATAAAAACTTCCAATCCAAGGGTTGGATGGATAAACTTAAAAGTTATTGATTTTTATAAAACTTCTACTTTTAATTGGAAATTTTTCAATAGAAAAAGTCCATCGTTGATTGATGCTTTTCTAGTAGAGTATGGAAAGGGAATAATTTTTCAATTTTTGTTTTTTTACCTACATATGAGTGGACTATTATCCATGAGTATAACTTATATATAATCTACAATATGTTGTAGATCGGACAATCCTTCTTGATCTAAATTCCTAAGATATTAGCTGATACAGCTTTTTGGACACTAATTTAACATAAGATAATGACATGTAGAAGGAGAATAATTTTTATAAAATTTCTACTTTTAATTGGACATTTTTCAATAGAAAAAGTCCATTGTTGATTGATGCTTTTCTAGTAGTGTATGGAAAGGGAATAATTTTTCATTTTATTGTTTTTTTTTTTTTTTTTACCTACATATGAGTGAACTATCACCATGAACTAACTTATATCATCTACAATATGTTGTAGATCGGACACTAAATTTTGATCTAAAATCCTAAGATATTAACTGACATAGCTTTTTGGACACTAATTTAACATAAGATAATGACGTACAAGTTTTTAATTAGTAACATATGTTATTTGATTGAAGGATCATTAATAATTGACTAATATATCATAGTAATTGTTTAATAATCTATTAATCAGTCGATAGACATCGTTTCTAAAAATTTACACATTATTAATACGTGTAAATTGGTGTTTGCAAAAACCTCTTGTTTAATTATAAAAAACGTGTTATAATAAAAATGTTGTCTAAAAAACATTGTTAAATTTCAAAAAAACCTTATCTAACATTAGCCATGCACATATTATACCAGGAACATGGAAAAGGCATATGTACATGGCAGCCACCTCAGGGGATTGGGTTGAGGCTTCAAAGTATGATAAAACTCATCCAAACTGGGTATGTACTCCTTTGAGTGGTGGTGGAGACACAGCCCTTCACGTTGCAGTGAGCATGGAACAATTCACTTTTGTATCAAAGTTGCTGGAACGTATGAGCTTGCTTGATTTGGAAATTCGCAACGCATATGGGAATACAGCCTTTTGTATGGCTGCTATTTCAGGAAACGTGAAAATTGCTACAATTCTATTTAACAAGAACCCAACGTTGGTATGGATTAGAGGCCATAAAGACATGTTACCAATTCAATTGGCATCTTCTGCTGGACACTCTCATATGGTGCAATTTTTATTTGAAAAGCCTCCCCAAGACATGCACTTTAATCTACCCTTCCAAGACATAGTAATGCTCTTTTTCTTTACCATTACCAACAACATTTACAGTAAGTTGGGATTCTTCCACAGTTCTCTAAGGCTTCGATATAACTTCAAGTATGTGTTTGGAACATAAACTTTATGAGCTGATTTGATTTATAAATAATAATTTTTTTGGAAATTATATCAAATTGGAATTGATTTGATTTATTACAATTAGTTTCAAATATAATACCAAATGACATTAATTCTGATTATTATTATTTTTAAAATTCAAACATACATATATATTACGTTACTTTTATATGTAAAACTAGTTAAATGGTTTTTTTTTTTTTTTTTTCTGAAAATGAAATGCTTATAAGTTAGTCCAAACATAACTACTAAAGGTTACCACGTGCTTATAAGTGAATTTCAGTTTTTTTTTCTTCTTTGGGTTTATGTTGAAATTTAAACTATGCTAATGATTTATTCATTGTTTTCAATTATTTGTTGGTCTTCACAGGTGTGGCATTGAATTTGTTGGATCGATATCCAAAACTCGCTACCACAGGAAATGAAGAGGGGCTAACCGCCTTGCAAGTGCTTGCTAAAATACGCAAACGTTAGCACTCTAACTTTTTATTCTTGTGTACAATTCAATTTTCTGATTTATATATACTGTTCATTTTAAATGTTACAAGATTTGAGCTTAGAAAAATTTTGCTCTCATCCAAGCATGTATTGCTGTATCTCAGTAAAAATAAATAAATAAATTTATGAATTAATAATTATATGATTGAAACTAATTTAATTATTTACATCTACTGAGCCAGCAGCCTTTGACGAGGATGCTCCAGGTTATCGAGATATTATAAGTTGTTTGTGTAAGGGCATAAAAGAGGAATTTTTGAACTCTGTAAGAACTTCAGAAGCAATGTTTGATGCAGCAAAATCAGGAAATGCTACGATTTTAGAATATATTTTAAAGTACAATCCGAATTTGATGATGAAAGTGGATTCGAGAGGACAAAGCTTACTTCACATTGCTATTTTATATCGACACATATCTGTATACCGAGTAATAATGAGTAAGGGTGCCTACAAGAATATTATACTGCAGCTGGTTGATTATGATGGAAACAATGTTCTTCATTTAGCTGGAATGTTGTCTGCTGAAGAAAGATTTGGATCATCAGTATGTCCAGTTCTAATTTGCAGTGAGGAGATGTGGTTTAAGGTGTGCATCTACCCTACACTACACTACTATTAGCATCTTTGATATACAATGAATTATCTTAAATGTGTTTTATTTTTTATTTTTAACCTATATGTAGGAAGTGGAGAGGATAGTTCCACCTGCATTGAGAAGCATGGAAAATAAGGATGGTCGGACACCAAAAGAATTATTTTACAGGGAACACAAAGAGTTAGCTGAAAAAGCTATATCTGAACTGAATGGAATTGCAAGTAATTACCTAGTTGTAGGAACTCTTATTATGACGTTAGGGGTAACCGGAGATCTCACGATTCGTACGAATAATATTGAAGGACGAACTCCTTATTTTTCGGTGTCGGAATGGTATATTATATTTGCTATATCAATTGCACTTGGAAGTGGCTTCTGCTTAATATCTATGTTCCTCTTCACTTCAGTTCTACTTGCTTCAACCTGGAAGACAAAACAATGTTATGTGAGGTCTCTGCTAATAAGAGTTGCTTGTGGGTATTTGATGCTGTCTCTCTCTGTTGGAACAATGCTCACCGTTTCTGCAGTATCGGGTGCGGTTTTGATCTACAGCTTCTTCCCCGAATGGGTCTTGATTGTTTGTGCTGCACTTACTGTTATTCCACTCATCTTGTCTCCTTTAATTTACAATTATGCTCTGCATCTTGCTGCGCATTTAACACTACGCGTTTGCGAGGAAGCTGCTATTAGGATTCTGTCAACAATGGGGATTAAGTGGGATCCTATTTACTTTCTTATGTAAATATGCCGAACCATATATATATATATATATAGGCAGGATCGTTTGACACCAGTGTCAAATTTCAAATTTGACACTTCATCTGAGAGCCGTTAGATCAAAAAAGATCAACGACTCTGATTTTTAAGCGTGTGACACCATTGAATTTTTTAATCTAACGACTCTCAAATTTAAAAGATGAGGTGTATATATATATATATATATATATATATAATTATACACTGATGTGGAAAAGAATCCTACCCAAATATATATATATATATATATATATATATATATATATATATATATATATATATTGTCTGTCATGCTTTGCGGTTTCGCATTTATCTTTTCCACAATTGATTTGACTCTAATTATGACTTACTTATTCATATATATTTTTCAATTATTTTCTAGTCTTCACAGCTGTGGCGTGGAATTTGTTGGTTATTTACCTAAAACTCGCTGTTCAGAAAACAAATAATTGTATAAAATTTTATTCCATGACTTTCCATTTCGTTTTAATTAATAACCTGTAATTAAATATCTAAACATAACTTAAACTTTTAAGGATGACTGTATAATGATTTTTTTTTTTAAATACATTAAATTAAATTAAAAGCAAAACTGGAAGCAAAGGACTTGAAGTCAAGATCTATTGAGGAGTTTCATGGTGTATTTAAATACCAACACAAATGGGAGCTGAGCAGGTGGGGGTGAGATCACGTGTTCAATCATCTTTGGGAGAGATTTAAAGCCTTAATCCTGAAATCGCTCCGAATCGAACTAGTCGCGAAGCGAAGAACCGATTGAAATATTTCAAAAAAAAAAAAAAAATACCAACACAAAAAAGCATTAAAGCATGTAGTACTAGTTTGTAACTTAAATATTGTTAACAATGAGAGATGTTATTCATTTGTTATATGTTTACTAGTTGCCTTATATTTTCATTTACACATTCAGGCACACCAAATATATAAAATGGACTTTCAAAAAGAAACTTCAATTCATAAATAGATTTTTTTTTTGGAGCTGATTTTTGGGTCAACATCACTTAATAATTTATTAAAATAAGTAGTGAAGATGTATTCAAAAAAAAAAAAAAAAAAGTAGTGAAGAACGATCATTTAGTTGGAATCCACAAGGAAACAAAAGAGCATGATGATTTAGGATGATGACCATTGTGGACCAGCTATAGAGCCCATAAGGCCATAGCCCATAACAACCTAACAAATAATGTCAATGTTTACATCTGGAGAACGACCCTGGTTGAGTTAATATAAAAGCAAGCCCTGTTACTGTTGTAAATGTTTATTAATGCTTTTTCAAACTGAACCACTAATTTGAGTGTCTATGTCTGTCAGGCAATATAAAAGTATCCTTTACTATTATCAAGGTTTTATAATTCTGAGGTTGAATGAGAATTGAAATTTTATGTTATAGAGACAAAAAGTATGTGTGATCCATATGTTAGAAGAAAATTATATGTAACATCTATGTCAACATGAAAATCGAAAGGTGTGTAGTAAAATTTCAATTCTCATGTTGAATGAGAATTATAAAACCCTATTATCAATCTTACAATAAGCCACGGTTCTTATTTCACTCGCCCCATATCTTTTGTTGACTTGGTTCCTTATGTAGTCAAAGAGAGAAATCGCGACATAGAAACTTGATTGAAGAAAAAAGGTAAAAAGAAAAAAGAGACAAGCATGCATAATGTATAAAGTGTCTTTTTTATGATGAGATCAGGGGTATTTATAAGAGAAGAAACACCTGACGCAAATCATGCTTGAGCCGAAATGTTTTTGCCTTTATGGATGATCCACTACGAGTGAGGCCCATATGCATGAGAGTAGATATGTGGCAGTGACTGAGGAGTATTTGTCTCACTTTAGTAGATGTACATAAATTAAACCCCCTGTATTAGGCCTCCGTACCCGGTTCAGGGATTTTTCTAATGTGATCCAGGCTCACAACACTATTCCATGGTCCTTTACTAAAAGAGAAAAAATTTCTTCCATTTATACCCTTTTCTTTTTTTTAAATTCCATCTCAATTCATTTTTTTTACTACTTTTAGAATGGGAGCATCTGCTCCCGGAGCATGTTAAACAGGCCTCGGTTCGGGTTATTGGACCTGTGTAGCTTGTCCAAAAGATATCCTTATCAACTAAATGCATTTAATTGCTATACACCAACTACTACACTGCTTAGCTTCTTCATTGTTGCAATATTAATATGGTAATGTTATTAAAATCGGCTCGGTCATTGATCCGGTCGAGGTACTGGGTCACTGGGTTAGTGGTTCAACCAGTGGGTCACTGGTTCAACCTCATGACCCGAAAATTATATGTAATTTTATAATTTATATTAAAAAATTATAAACATACATAAATATCTAAAAAAATTGATAAAAATTTCAAATATTTTAATAAAAAAAATAATAAATCACGTATTGTTATCCAATAAAGGATCAAACTAAAATATAATGATCGTGATATGAGGTTTCAGGTTCAGAAAATGACATTTCTAACTATAAATCAAATCAAAATTTCCTGTATAGTGCTTAATTGAGATAATATTAGTGTTGTAGGTACATAACTTATGTAAGTCAATAAGCAAAAAAATATTCAAATATGTCCATTATGATTTTTTTTTTATAAAAAAACAATTTTGGAATTTTTTTTTGTTGGGACCGGGCCGAGTCACCGGTTAATCGACCGGGTCACTGGTTTTCATGAAAACCGGCCGGGTCAGACTGGGTTGCATCGGTTCTGATACATGGCCGGTCCGTTGCTTCAACCGGACCGGTTACATGATCGGTTTACCTGTTCCCGGGTCGACTCGGCCGGGTCAGTCCGGTTTTATTAACACTGATCAGGTGCAACCATTATAAGATTTTTCAATTCTTTTTTTTTTGTTGATACATCAGTCGAAATTAAACACATAACCTATAATATAACCTGCCCGCCCAAACGTTTTCTCACTAGACCAATTCTAGTGCTTAAGAGTTTTCAATTACATAACTTCAATTGCTGCCCCAAATATCTTTATAAATCAGTAGTTAGGAATCATTGTTCACAAAAGTCATCTGACATGTAAATTATAAGGGATGGATAATAAGTCTAATACTAAATCTTAACCGTTAATTTTTATATATCTAACGGTTATAATTTATTATAAATTAATAATTAATTAATGAGTGTGACCCAATGAATAATTATTATATTCAAGGAAATCAACGATTAATATTTAATATAAGACTTATTATTCTTATATCGACGTAAGATGATCCTGCCCCATATTGTAGAACTTCCTTATCCATGTATCACCAATTATAGTTAATGTTCATTTATTAAATTTTAGGTTCAACGGTAATGGTTCTCAGTTACTCATTGCATCCCTCTTCCGTTCCTTTATATTTACAGCCTGCAAGCGCAACAATTAATTAAATGGACTTTCATGAAGAGGTTTCAACTTCATAACTGTAACGGATCCAGTGGTGGACCCAGTAAAATTTTTTTATATCCGCACATTTAGTGACGAGAGTTCAGGGGCAGCACCCTCAAATTTTTTTTGTAAAGAAAGTTTAAATCAACGCTTAAACCCGCTTATAATCTAATTGCTTCCATAACAAGCCGCAGGCAATAGCTTGACCAATTATTTCTCCCCCTTAGATCTTACCAATCCTCCAAAACAAATATGAGAATATACTCCAGTACATCAATACATAATCATTCTATTTTATAGTGGTGAATAAAAAAGTCAACACTACATGTACAGAAGGCAAGCAAAATCACAGTAAAGATCTTGTCTCTAGATATTAACTTATTTGATAATGTCAGACCTGCAATCATTCCTCTCTTTTTATAGCACAGTGTGTTAATCAAGGTGGTTGGAATGTTGGGTATTTGAGGAGATTTCTGAGTAATGAATGGATTACTAAGATAATAAGCTACCCGTTGATGACTGAAGTTAGTGAAGTTGATAGACAAGTTTGGATAAATAATCATACTTCATTTTCCTTAGTTAAAGTTGCTTACAAGAATATAATGCAATTTCCAGACAACCTCCAGAAGACAATTTGGAAGAAAGTGTGGTCTTGGAGAGGACCAGAGCGAATTAAAACAATGATGTGGATGGCTATTCTTGATAAATCACCTGTTCGTAGTAATACCAGTAAGTGGAGTGCAGGTCCAAAGATGTGTCAAAGCTGCCGTCACCAGGAGGAAACTATTGCTCATGTACTTCGAGATTGCAAACATGCTAGGGAGATATCGAAGGATTGTTTTAGAGGACTTGAGCCTTCCAATTTTTATTCCATGGAAATCTTTGACTGGTTTTCGAATAATATGGAAGGTTCGTGGGGAATTAATGGGATTCTCAATTGGAGAGATGTTTTCCTCCCAACTTGCTGGTTTTTATGGTCTTGGAGGAACCAACAAATCCATGATGAAAATTTTTGTAGGCCTAGTAGAGGTAAAGTGTTGATCTCAGACTTCGTTTTGCAGATTAATAGGTCGAGGAATAAAAATAATGGAGGAACCAACAGGGGTAGGATGAATAATCTGACTAATACGTGAAAGCCTCATGAGTTTGGTTGGTTTAAGCTTAATGTTGATGGGGCTTCTTCTCTGAGAATGAAACAAGCTAGTTGTGGAGGCTTGTTAAGGGATCACAATGGAATTTTTAGAGGTGGTTTTAGCCTCAATATTGGTTATTGCAATCCTTTAGATGCTGAGTTGTGGAGTATTCTAAAGGGGATGGAATTGGCTTGGGGAACGGGGATAAAGAAATTGGAGATTGAATGTGATTTTACTAATGCCATATATTTACTCCAAATGGATCAGGATGACCTTAGGGACTCCAGAGTAGTTATGCAGATCCGAAAATGGCTTGCTATGGATTGGGAGATTCGTTGTATTCATGTTTGCAGGGAAAATAATACTTGTGCCCATTGGTTAGCAAAGAATGTTGACAGGAACAATAGCATGGTTCAAGTCTATTCTTCTCCTCCTCTTCGTTTGTTGGATTTGCTGTTGAAGGATGCAAGGAGCGTTTCTGTTGTTTCTGTTTCTGTTGCTGCTGTTGTTTTTGTTGTTTCTGTTTCTGCTGATTCTGTTTTTGCTATTTCTGTTTCTGCTAGTGTAATGTAGTTTCTGTTTTGTGGGGTCTACCCTTCCATATTACAAAAAAAAAAAACAAAGGATGAAGAGAGCATGGGAATGAGTACGTGACAGGGGAGGAAGAATAAATTTTCTCTCTAATTAATTTGCGTTGCTACGTTTTTTTAATCATCTTCGTACATTGCTAACTAATATAAGAATAAATATCATTTTTGGTCCCTAACAAAAAATTCGGTCCCCACTTTAGTCCATTATAAAAAAAATTTAATTACCTGGTCCTTATGAAATTCAAAGTGGACCCATTTTGGTCTTTTTAAGGGATTAATGTAGGCTTTTTTTGAATTTATGAGGGACCACGATTCTAACTAAATTGATCCATTTTAAATTTTTTAGGGACCTCGAGACTAATTTTTATTTTAAGGGACTAAAATGGGGACCATGTTTTTTGCTAGGGACTTAAAAGGGTATTTATTCCTAATATATATATTGAACCAAGAGACAAATAAGTACCTACAATCAAGAAAAAGGAAAAAAAAATTGAAATAAAATTTTTTATGTCCGCACTTGCGGGCATTTGCCCGCAAACGGATCCCTACGCATCATATATCACTAGTTAGATGCATTAACATGTGTTAGCGTAGATAAACTGTTAAGAGGTTATTCCAACTTAAATAGTACTCTTGAGTTTAAGTTTGGTAAGCAGTCTTCTCCGACCGTAACATCATAATTGGCTTTACATATTTTGTGGAGGCCCTCGTGAGTTTTGCGCGAAAATAAATGCCAAAAACTTTGTGGTGGTTTTTGTTTTGGCTGGCCCACATCTATAGACTCAATTAGTTGGGTCCAGTCTCAAAGCCCATAACTAGAACATTCTAGATGGCACCTATGATGAGCCATAAAGGCTTAACAATGGGCATTTACCTTTATCCCACACTGCTGCTCTCTATACACTGACAGTAGGACAACATATCTTATCACCTTGACAAGATAAGGCTAGGCAGCAATAGAGGGATTCTCTTTCACATACTTGGAGAGGGACTTCCTCTTTAAATACTTTCTTCCCATAAGGAAAGGGGCATCTTCTTCTTCGTTCTCCAGAAAAGTTGTTACTCTGCTCAGGAGCATAACCACCTTAGCCACCTTCACTCAAACTTGCCCTTGATGCACAACACCATGAGAAGTTTTACTAGTGCCTTGATTTTTACCATTGCTACTATGAACACCCCTATATAAACATACTATATGTAACATCCCAAGGGCTGACAAGGGTAGGGAGTGATTGTCGGTGCGAAAGGGCACGGACAATGAGCGGCTCATGCCAAATCTTGCAGTTGGGGATATATGAATGAATCGAATCAACACCCGAAAGAGAGGAATTCCATAGATTGTGCTAGTATGAGACGATACAATTGGGGATAACTTATAAGAATTAATTGGTACTACATATACTAACAAGATGCATCTACTTTTAAGTAGCCTGGAATAGAAGAACTCTGTAGTTAAGCATGCTTGACTTGGAGAAATTTTGATATGGGTGACCTCGTGAGAAGTTTTTCCAGAAAATGTGTGAATGAGGACAAAGCACGCTGAAAAGTCTCGTGTTAGTTTGTGGGACAATCATTGATTCTTGCAAGTTGTCGGGCGTTACACTATACCCTCATGGGATATATGTATGAACCCTCAACGGTACGGTTTCAAATTAATAATTTCAACTACACTTTTGTCAGGTGGGGTCAAGGGAGACCATGCGGGAACATTTAAGTAAGCATATCCAACATCACGTCTCGATCTCAACCAAAAATCTCAATGTATTGGATTTATGAGTTCTCTCACTTATAAAATTAATAACTCAACTTATTATTGTACCCAAAGAGAAAGAGTATATTTAATGCATAATGTGAAATTAATATTAATAGCAAGCTCTGATACCATCATATCTAGATTTCCAAACAAATCAATCCTCTCCATATTTCTTACATTCCCATGAAAACCCTACACTTGTACTTATCACCCTAGTGTTTGATGGGAAAAACTACCTTACCTGGGCAAGATCCATGAAGATGGCACATTGGCTTTAATATATATTTCTTCTGCTGCACACTTTGGTATGGTGAACTTTTTGTTAGGAAGTCGGTCCCTCAAATTCAACGCGGAAACAAATCTCTAGTCATCAAGTTAAGCTTGGAGCTCGGCACTATCTGATCGAAGCTCGACATGTTTCATAAAAAGAAAAGGCACGTGCTGTTCATTGAAACTCTTTTGACTATGTCAGATGCTACTATGCGAGTTAATTGTTTCATGAATGAAGATTGATGACTATGCCTGTGTTTTACATCAATATGCTCTTGTTGCTTGACGACAAGCAACATGCAGAGTTTGGAGGTGAGAAGAGACTTAAAACTTTTAATTGTTGGCTTTAAATTGAAGAAAAATGAGAAATTAAGTCTTTATATGTAATGCAATTTATGGTTGTATTATGTTATTTAGGTACAAGACTCATGGGCTTATTAAATTGAATGTTAATGCAAATTTTTTCTAAAACAAAAGCCCAAAAGATCAAGTTAGAGGAAAGCCCAAACATGAGAGCATGTCTTTTATAAAAATCCGTCCAAGTCAGTGATTGAATGCAAGGGCAGAAATATAAATGAAAGTAAATGCTGAGTAAAAGGAAAAGAGTAGCCATCGTATGAGACTCAATTCAGTACAAATCAAGCTCTATCAAACCCTAGCCCTTCTTCACCTTTGGTCTATTGAGACACCCAACCACACTCTTCTCTGATTGTGTAAAATCATCGAACCACTAAACCATTTGGTGCGTTGTTCTCACCCATATAGTTCAACTAACCAGCCATATTATTGTAAAAAAGAAAAGGGAAAATATAGGATCTTCAGCCAACATCTTTAGTTTGAGGTTGTTACGCGGTTACTTAAGTTGACATTTTAATCATCACCCTCTCACAGAGGGCCATCAAATGATAGAGCAGATTTTTTCTTGGTGCAAGTTTTGTACTAGAATCTTGAATATATCATTTGTAATGAATTGTATCATTTGGATGTGAGTTATTGTTTTAGGTGTAAATAGTACTTAGTTTCCTTTCTTATTTTATTGCAATTTTATTTTCTTGTGATTGTTGAAATTTCAACAGATGTAAATCATCCATCGAATGCCTTTTCTCACTGGGTGGAGTGGGCTATAAGGATCCCACGGTGTGAATCTATGCTATTAAAAACCTGGTATATCTTGTACAAGAAAAACAGGATTTTGGAGAGGTGGTTTAGATTTAATTCTTTTTTAATTGTTTCGCTTGGAGTTTTTCTTGGTCTTACAGAATGTGTAATTGAGTATGCAATTGTTCATGCAGATATCTTTGTCCTAGTGCCTATTATATATAAATTGATAGGCTTTGCAGTGCCATAAAAAGACATTTCATGCGATGCTTATGCATCTAGCATATGATGCTTTCTAACTTAAAAGAAGCAAGGAATTAATCATAAGTGTGTGAAAATAAATCATAAATGTAAGAAATATTGATTATTCCTTCTCAATCATTCACTACGAGAAATGCAGTGTTTAACCACGACAATTTAACCAGAGTTATTAGATTGCGTTAAAATTGAGAAAAATCATAGGCACCATAATTTAACCGCAACAAAAAAGATCGGTTCAGAATTGAGAAAAATTGATAATATAAAATGGTGGTAATTATCCCATATCACGCCGACTCTTACAACAAAAAAGAAAGGAGGCATTACTTTTAACCCTTCAAGCTTATTTGCCGATTCAGAGTGCATTACTTTAACCACCTTCATTTTAGTGATTCAACGTTGCTTTATCTGGTACATCTTCCTCCTCCATCCTTCGTTGAAGATCAGTTCCTGGTACTCTGTTCTCCATTTTCTCTTCTATGAGTTGTTTCCTAATTTGAGGTTCGCTAATCCCTGATATAAGCAGAATCTAAGGCTAAATTTTGTGCCCTTGCTATTGAATTGTTCTAGATCTAGGGTTTCAATAATTATGTTACAGAATTTCAAATTGTGAATTTTGACCGTTATGTATTATTTGAAAAGGCATGTCCCTATGGACTCAAGGATAATTTTTATTTTTTTTTACGGTTCTTGGTTTTTTATTTTTTATTGATTTGGAGTGTGTTATTTATTTTTGCTTATGTTTTGGGTGTTAGTGTTAATGAATTGAATTTGGACATATAATGCAGAGATTTCAAGACCATCACTGATGCCATTAACTACATCCATACTGGGAACACCAAGCGTGTCATTGTCTATATTGGAGGTGCAAATTATAATGAGAAAATCAAAATTGAGAGGACAATGCCTTTTATGACATTATATGGGGCACCAGGGAACATGCCAAACTTGACCTTTGGTGGTACTGCAGAAAAATATGGTACTGTTGACAGTGCTACATTGATTGTTGAATCAGATTGCTTCGTGGCTGCTAACATCATTATCTCGATTTGTGTACTATCTATCTTAAAAATAACATTAATCAAAATAAAAGTCAAATGCTACATTGTTTCTCATGATTATTTATGTTTTTGGCTTTTTGTGAATTTGATGGTATAGAATTTAGCACCAAGACCTGATGGAGAGAGATCAGGAGCCCAAGCGGTTGCGTTGAGAATTTCTGGTGACAAAGCAGCATTTTATAATTGCAAGCTATTTGGATTCTAAGTCTTTGCATTGAATTTGGTTATACTGTCAATGTAAATTGTTTCATATAATTTGTTTAGATTAACACTTCTGACTATCCAAAAGATTCTAGCAAGTCCAAGTTTAACTTGATATGTCAATATTGGCTTTTTCTTGTGTGCTTCAGGTGAAACGAGATGGCATCTTCACATAATGTTGAGCTGGAGGGTAGTTTCTGCACAAACTCTATGTGGTGCGTGTAGTTTTCTCATAAAAGAATTTCTTTAATTGTTATTTTTTACTCCTTAGTTCTTTTATGGGACTAGTATTGTACCTGTAATGGTGAATAAAAAGAGTAATTGAATGAGTATATTCTGTCTTGTATTGGGTTTTTCACATTATATATTATTAGGTTTCTTCTTAAAGCTATTTAACATGTTAACTTTCCTCGCTGCATCCTTAGTTCTCAATTCAATATATGGACCATATAGAAGGGCCAACAAAATATATAAATAGAAGTCAAACCTGAGATCGCACACAAAAGTCGGTTTTTAATTTTCACATTATATATTTTTTATAAGTTAAATTGTAGTTTCTGTGGGGGATGAAGTAAAGTGATGATGTTGTTTAGTGAATCCCATTTTCATATTTGGTTCGATGGTTGACATGGCAGGAAAGGGAAGGAGGGGAAAAAGAAATGTTTAGGAACATGTTTTGAGCTTGTCAAGATTTTTTCTTTTTCTTTTTTTTTGGTCTGAACCCTGAAATTGAAAGTGTTTTTGTGAATTTGTTTGAACATTTCAGAATATGATAAAGTCGAAATTAGGATATTTAGGCCTTGGCATTAGTACTTAAGTTCATTTTTATAGAATCTTTTAACCTCTTTAGCTTATATATATACTTGGTTTCAACTAATCTATAAATGCTTACTTCTTGCAAGAATCTTTTTTATTTTTTTAATACTTTTCTGCTATTGGGAGATACAGGGGAGAGTTATTGATTAAGTAGCATTTTATTTTCTTTCTTGATGATATATAACCCTTTCGCAGGTTTTTCATGGGCAACCCATGCCTAATACCATTCCTACCGCTCCACATCCACCAACAATGCATCCTAGAGTGCAGACTAGAAGAGGACAGGCTACAGATCCACACAGCATAGTTGAAAGGGTGGGCTTTTTCAAAAATATAGATTTTTCTCTTGTTAAGAAGCTTAACATTTAAAATGAGAAGCCACATAGTTAATTCCTTGATTAACTAATATTTATTTATTCTTTAGCTTTTGTTGAATAACAGTTGCGCAGAGAATGAATAGCTGAAAGAATCCGGGCTTTGCAATAACTGGTTCCTAGTGTCAACAAGGTACATGACTTCTCTTACATGTCATTTTATTTCTATATGTAATTTTACAACTGTCTATAGGACTTGTGGAATTTGTCCTTGGGCAAGTAATGGATTTCTTTCATGTTTACCTTGAAGTTAGAAAAGATACAGAGGTTAACATTTGAAAAGATGTATCTATTATTATAACCCTCGTTGTTTAACTAATTTATCGCTTTTTTTATTAAATCAATGGAATCTTGGTAGATATTGTTCATTACATACTTGATTAGAGCCTAACCATCTAAGTTCTATACTGACACTGGTCGCGTCTTTCTTTCTTAATGTGAATGCGGTAATTGGATGTCAAAATTTTATGTGGCTCCATTATGAACGTTAGGTTCTTAAGAATTAGGGTGTATTGGCATGTAAAGGTTTTCTTGAAATATAATGCTTCAATTTGATGTGACTATGGGCTCTATATATAAGTAATTTGATTATATATATATATATATATATCCACTTGAAGAATGATTTAATGCTGACTTATTGTGTTTGAGTTTAGAAAGTTGTGACTACTTATGGACCTGTTGAATGCTCAAATAAGTTTTGGATCGAGTTTGTGCTCGTAAATATAACACCTGTTTTCTGTTTGACAGTTAATATTTGTTTGTTTATTAAATATAATTAATCAAGGGAAACCTTTCTCTCAAAGGGGTTAAAAACAAAAGAGGAAAACATTTGCGCATGTTCTGATTATGTGTACATGAAATTTAAAGTGTTTGAAGTATGATATAAATTTATCGATTACCAAGATATCAAATATTTTTATGACTTACTTGGAGTCTTTATTATTTTATGACCTTCAAGTGAAGGTTAATTCTCTTGTGATCCTTATAGATTTCACATTTATTTTTGTTTGGTGTCTGTCCTTATTACGTCTCAATTTATAATCAATGATAGTTTTTAATGGGATTTGTGGTTTATTTTGTTAAACCTGTTAGCCTATGCCTTTCAGCCCTCGCCCCTCACAATCATCGTTTATTTAGGATTCAACTCGTGGTCATGAACACCAAGTGCCATTTTGGATGAGGATCTGTTGGCCAATGGATTTTATTCCTAAAGACTAGTGAATATCTAAATACATTCCAATGGTAGCATTTGCACGCTATTTTGCATTGTAGCTACTTTAACTACCCAATAGTATCCATGGGTCTTCAGCGTGGACTTAATAAAATGTCTAATATTTAGTATTTGTGAATACTAAAACCAATTTCTGCAAACATGGTAGCAATTTCATTGATTTCTATAGACATCTAAGGGAGTACATATTGCTGTTTGAATATGAAAGTGAAACCAAGGCTTTTCATACGATCCAAATTTAAATTTGTCAGCAATATAATACTACTAGTGCAAAAGACTTCTAAGACTATTAATTCTTTTATCTTTCAGGTTTTGAGCATGAGTAGATTGGGAGAAGCTGGTGCAGTGGCACCACTAGTGACTGACATCCCATTGTCATCAGTTAAGGTAATTATTCTAACTAATGTGTAGTTGACATAATTTTGTTTTTCTTTCCAAACAATCAAATTTAGTATTGATCAGGAAGAAGGAAGTGAGGGTGGAAGAAACCAACCAGCTTGGGAGAAGTGGCCAAATGATGGCACAGAAAGGCAGGTACTAAGCTAATTGAAGTAAATTTTGGGGCTGCCATGCAGTTTTCTTCAATCAAAGGCACTTTGCATCATGCCCATTTCACTGGCATCAGCAATATACCAGTCACAACCATCAGACACCTTTAGCATCCTGAAATTAATCCTCCTTCATAGACAAACCTTCAGGCACAGGGTGCACCATCCAGTGGTCCCTTCAAGGCCTCACCTAATATTGCTGGGACCCACGTGTTATTTGTCTGTTCCAAACCCCCTTAAATTTTAGTCTTGGGCTAGCATCAAGTTGGATTCAAAGTATGATGCCATAGTCCTTTCTTGATATTGTGACTAGAAGTGGTAAGTTCAGGTGCACCATCCTTTCACATCTAATATCATTCGTCTCTCCGTATCTAGTGCTTTAAATTGCAAAGTACCATAATTTTAATGAATGTACACATTTATTTTTATTTTTATTGGTAAAAGAAATGTAAAGTGTGAAGGACAATGAATGTAAATGAAAATGCAATGTATCTAGTGTTCTCATACTATTTTTTATAGTAAGAGTTGGAAGTAAATGAAAATGAAAGGGAATGTGGGGATGAAAGATCAGTAAGAAGAGAGGTTTTTTTTTTTTAATATAATGTACATTGTTAGCCACTGTTAGAAACGTAGTAAATTAATATAAATGCGTGGCTAACAAAATGTTACCACGATCCCGAAAGTCAATGCTAAGCGGAAAAATAGCCGTAGCTGAAATAATGCAACACCCAATCTGGCAACGGTTTTCCAAACAGTGGACAATTCGTTTAGCCACGGTTTATATCATCATTTGTCACGGTTTTCGTCGTGGCCAAAGAGCGTTTTTGTTGTAGTGATTCTCTCACTCAATTTATGCATTTTAATAGCAGGAAACACCAAGAATGAAGTGAATGAGAAAAGTCGTAGTTTTTCAGCTGGCACAATTTGCGCGGAGCATGGCGCAAATCGCGCCATTTGGTCCATATCTTCTCTGTTTGTTGGCGCAAAGTGCGCGGGAGGTGGCGTATTTTGCGCGAGGTTGGCGCAATTTGCGCAGGACTTGGCGCAAATCGCGCCATTTGGCAGCTTCAGCTCTGTTTTTCCGTGCAAATTGCGCGGGAGTTGGTGCAAAGTGTGCGGACGATACTTTTTAATTTTAATCTGATCCGAATTACACAAAAAGGGGCCCAATTGGAGAGCAATTGAAAGGAGGTTTTCCCAAAACCTAATAAAAAGATCAGAAAAAAAGGGAGGAGAGACGTTTTGCACAGAGGGAATTATGAAAAGCGGAGATCGGAGAGCAACCTCTTGGCGATTGAAGATTCAAGAATTCTTCTTCTGGTTATATTTTCATGAACTCTTTTCTATCATTTGAAATGTCAGACATGAATATGTCTGGCTAGTCTTCTTATTATTGTGGTAAGGGTCACAACCCTTGATGTGAACCCCTTGTAGTTTGGTTGATTTTATGTTTATTTATTTATATTGAATTTATTTTGCCTTGTTCTTCATTCCATAATTCTTTTGGAACTGATCACTCTAATAGGATTGTGAGGGTTAGGGTTTTCAATAGGGATATTAGAATTCTAATTCCTGACAAAGGATAAGATAACTGTTCATGTACGCACTAGGAATAGGCTATATGAACCACAAATGTTACAGATTCATTGATTCTACTGTTTAACTTGAAAGGGAATTTCTAAGGGATTAGGATTCTAATAGAGCTAATAAGGTTAAAGTCACTAAGGAATTAGGGTTTAACTAATCATATAAAAGATGATGAATCGTTTGATCAATTGAATAAGTAAACGTAAATGTAATCCAAGTTGCAAGGTAAGGATCATAAAGGTGTTTGTTTCTCTTTACCGCAATATTTTCTCAATTATTTTCTCAACATTTATTCCGTTGTTCTTGAGCTTTAAAAGAACCTTTGAAATCATTTACAATTTCTTGAATAGTTCTCAATTATTTCACAAACCACAATTGTTCTCAAACCATTTTTATTAATCCAACAAGAGAGGAATAATTATAATAACTTCAGTGCCTCAATCCT